GGGGGACCTTAAACAATTGAAAATGCACCTATGGCCAGTCAAACCATGTGGCCAAAGACTTCTATGCAAGACAATCCATCTATCCGTGTAATGGAGTCTTACCATTGTCCGATATTCCTTGATCATTTTGAGTTTATCTTCTCCTCCTTTGTTCTCCTCTTTCTGTTCAATGCTGCTGATTATTCTCCAGGACGCTCTTCGAGCTCCGATCACATTTTTATATGCAACAGAGAGCAAATTTCTTTCTTCTACTGTCAATTCCACATCCATCCCGGCAACTTTCTTCATAGATTCAACCATTTCTGAAAAAGAAGCACGTTTACATTTATAATCAATCAAGTGCACGCAGCAACTTCTTTACCATGACTTGATGACTGTTCAATCACACTATAAAAGGGTCTGAGGAAAGAATTGTTGGGGACCATATACCCGTACTGTTCCATGACAACTAATCAAGCTCCAGAACTACAATTAGTTTTCTTTTTTTAAAAAGCAAGCGAGTAAAACCTCAAACCTGTTTCATGTTTCCCCCTAAATATAGTTTTAAAACATAACATGGGTCGGAAAAGTAAAGACTTTGCCTTTAGAAGGAAACCTAGCAGACAATTGTAGACTGCCACTGCTGACCTTTAAAAACTGACTGTCAGACTTCAGGGTCATCTGAGTCACTGATCTGAACAGATAATCAGATGAAGAAAATCCAAAACTGCCTGCCTGTACAAGGCCAGTGATCCAGACACCAATGGCATAGTATCAGTACGACAGGCAGGAAAATAGCATATTCAGGTAGTTAGCAAGGGTAACCTTCAAGCCTCTTGTGATAGGCAAACAAAGCATTTAAAAAGTAATCGAAAGTGGCTCCTTTGTTAGAAAAAGCACTGAAAATGGCCTCAGCTGGCAAAGTGGATCTGCTTTACCTGAACTGTCTGTTCCATAAACCCCTACTGCTGAGATTACATGGTCATGCCTAGAGATTTGATGGCATGTTTTGCATCAGAGACATCCTATCACTATATGATCTTTGAGCATGCTAGGGTAGGATGAGGGTGTTAAGAATTACACTTTAACCACTTGCAGCCCAGAGCAACTCCATTTTTGCTCACACAATAAAATCTGAATTTGTGGCTAGAAAACCGCTTAATACCCCCAACAGTTACATATTTTCAAAAAGCAGAGGCCCTGTAGAATATATTTTAAAAAATGCTAATTGCTAATGTTGCACAATATTTGTGCAAATGTTTACCAAACCAATATTTTTAGGCTAAAAAAAATACACTAAAATGATAAGTGCACAGAAACAATACCCATTTTGTTTTGGTAAAAATATCAAATGATAAATAGACACCAAACATGTCAAGTAACCGCGAAATGGCAAAAAAACCTACCATACCCAAAACTGCCCATAGGCGACGATTTAAAGCTTCCACCGAGCAGAGCATTGCTGGGAAATCTGATCTGTTATCTCACAGAAAAGGCATTTTCCTCCCTGAGTTGATGTGCATGGTCACATGTCCTAGTCACATGCCAGAATTCCAGGAATAGGAGCGCTAGTAATCTGTCCTTAGTAAACATGGCCACTGTAAGAAGACTAGTGAAGAAAAGAGAAATAAGGAATGCAAAGCCGACAATTATCTAGAAGTATGCGTTTGTAGATTGTCATTACTAAACATTTCTAAAAATGTGTGATGAAGCACAGATCATGTTCCTGTTCACCGCTGGAGGGGCGGTATATATTCCACAGCTCATTAGAAACAATAGGGTGGCTCTATAGCCGCCCGAACGCTTGTATGCCACAGCCATTGCTGGCAGTAAAAACAGCATTGCTGTAGCCTTGATCTTTGTGTAACACGACATTTATATAGGTATTGCAGCACTGGAGGGGTCAAAGAATAACAATGGAGAAATGCATGTTAGCCGACTTTGGTATTCCTTCAGTAAGGATACCTGCCTCAAAAATGTACTTTAAGAAGTGTTGGCACAGTTCAACCTCGTAAAAGGAGTGTATGTAGCCTGCCAAACACGAGACAGAGGTGGGCATCAATGTGCTGATGTTCACTAGTATCCAAAACTGCACCAATGGGGCAGAGCAGAGGCACAGTCTACTATTGCAATACTAACCAGAAAAAATAAAAAAAACACATCTTTGCTACTCAGCAAATCATTGAGCAGGAAAACCGTTCCTATACAATGGTTTCATCTGCATGCCTAATTATTGGGCTGCAGTAAAAGTAGGCAAATAACTTCAAGCAGGAAACAGACCTAAAAAAGGTAAAACAAACAGCTACAAAATAAACTTTAAAACACCTGGGCCAACCCTTAAAGCCCTACCTGAAATTTCAGGCCAAATGATAAAAAGCATAGTCAAGGTTCATGGAAGCAGTAACTATTCAATGTCCCGCCTTTGTTTTTTTTGCAAAGAATCTCCAGCAGAAAATGTCCTTTCCTGGCAATATACTGCAGAAAGGAGCGATGCATTGCGTGTGTGAGAGTAGCAGGCGTTCCATGTGAAAGCAGCAGTCTCTCTGCAGTGACACACACGTTACCACTGCAAAGCTGCTAACCAGCCATCCTTTCCTGCAGCAGACAAGGACTTCCTGCTGGAGCTGTTACCCCATTGAACGGTTACCATTTTGCTGCACCTTGATTTTATCTTTATTATTTATGTTGAATCAATAATGTCAAATATGGAAAAGAATAGTGTGCATCATCTCCATAAACAGAACATTAAAGAAAAACTTTACCCATGTCTTTAAAATAACAAAACATGCCTTTAGAAATGCTTAGTAATGACAATCTACAAACACATACTTCTAGATAATTGCCGGCTTTGTATCCTTTGCATATCTTCCCAGTTTTCTGACAGTGGCCATTTTTGACTAAGGGCAGATTTCTATATCTCCCTTTACTTCCTGGAACTCTGGCACATGTGACTAGGACATGTGACCATGCACATCATCTCAGGGGAGGAAAATGCTTTTCCCCGATTACAAATGAGATTTCTCAGCAATGCTCTGCTGATGTAAACTTCCCAAGATGCAATGCTTGGGCACATTACATCATTTGTGCCAGAACTGGATCAGGAAGTAAATTAAAAACAAGAGGATTTTAAATCAGCATGCTGATGTGAATTTTAGTGAAAGGGGATAGAAGGTCCACTTTAACGGTTCTACTGAGCAATAGTAGTTCATATTACCAGAGCATTCCCACTTAAGATCAAAGCAGCTCAAGTGGGAACGTAGAGGAAATGGGTGTCTGTCATCAGAGAAAAGGGTTCATCATAGCATTTATTTTACATACTACACCAATCAGCCATAACATTACGACCACCTGCCTAATATTGACTATGTCTCCTTTTGCTACCAAAACAGCCCTGACCCATTGAGGCTTGGACTCCACTAGACCTCTGTAGGCGTGCTGTGGTATCTGGCACCAAGCCGTCAGTAGCAGATCCTTTAAGTCCTGTAAGTCGCAAGGTTTGGCCTCCATGGATCAGACCTTGTTTTTCCAGCACATCCCACAGATGTTCAATTGAATTGAGATCAAGGCAACACCTCAAACTTGTTGCGTTCCTCAAACCATTCTTCTTGAACCATTTTTGCAGTGTGCAATTGCTGGCCGACACATTATCTTGCTGAAAGAGGCCACGGCCATCAGAAATAGTTTCCATGAAGGGGTGTATGTCGTCAGCAACAATGTTTAGGGAGGTTGTACGTGTCAAATGAACTAACATGAATGGCAGGACCCAGCAGAACATTGCCCAAAGCATCACACTGTCTCCGCCGGCTTGCTTTCTTCCCATAGTTCATCCTGGTGCCATCTCTTCCCCAGGTAAGACAGACACGCACCTGGCCATCCATATGATGTATAAGAACATGATTAATCAGGCCAGGCCACCTTGTTCTATTGCGCCATTGTCTGATGCTCATGTGCCCATTGTAGACGCTTTTGGCAGTGGACACGGGTCAGCAAGGGCACACTGACCAGTCTGCAGCTACACGGTCCAATACGCAACAAACTGCAGATGCAAATGCTGCCACAGGCTGAGGTGCGCCCTGGACTAGACTATTTTTTAAACTCCATTAACACAGAGGTCCAGGACCTGACTATACTGTCTGGACGGGGAGCATGGCTCAAAACTACTAGCTGAACATTTACAAGTTCTTTGACATGTAAAACAGTTCACATTTAAAAGGTATGTATTCAGTTGTCTGAAGATAACCAATATTTCATGCCTCCAAGATTTTTCACTTTATTATTACAGTTCAGCACGTGCCCAGGGATAACCAAAATATATGCCAAGTAGGGCTGCAAAAACTAATCGATTATAAATCGATGAGAATCATTGACAATGATTCTCATTATCGATTAGTTGCTGCCGCTGCTGTTTTGCTTCTCCGTTCTCCCGGCTGGTTGCAGTGGTCTGTGTCCCTTTCCATCACCGCTTCTATCGGCAGAGGCAGCAGGGACACAGCACTCTGCAGCCGGCACCAGTGGGAAGGAGAGACCGATGTGCTTCTGCATTACCCCGCTGGTGCTACCATTTTTACGCTGCTCCCCCTCTTCTCAGTTAAAAGCCAGTGTCAAAGATCCATTCAGCGGCTGAGAGCAAAATCCAGCCTGCTGTTATTTTAAAAATTGCAATAGCAGGCCGGCTACTGCACGCGCCCACTGCCTGCTGTCAATTAGCAGTGGACAACCTGAAGGAGAACTTTTCCCTTCAGTTCCTGCCTCTGCTGATTGACAGCAGGGAGTGGGTGGGTGCAATATAGGGCTGCAACAACTAATCGACATAATCGATTAGAAAAGTTGTCAACTTTTTCAATAATCGATTAATCGGCTTCCGATCAGTTGGCCCTGTTCACAGCTCCACACGCTGTGCGCCGCACACAGCCTACTATTCCAATTTAAAATAACCAATAGCAGGGTGGCTATTGCTCCCAGCCACTGCCTCCTGTGTTGACATTCAGCTGACTCCAGTGGAAAGGTGACACTAGGGGTCTAAAAGACCCTTAATGTCACCTGAATGAGAACCCGTGACCTTCAATGTGCCATCACATAGGGGGCTATGTAAAGTCCCCCAACCCTGCAAACACATGTATACTAATGGAAACACAAGTCGGTTGCACCTACAAAGAAAACCAATGATTACACTACACGTCAGGTATCGCCAATATTCATGGCTAACTTTCTTTTTTTTTTGACGAACCGGCTCTTCATGGCTAACTCTAAACTTAGATGACTGGGTGTGTATATATGTGAGCACCCGCAATGGAGCGTGCGGTACTGCAATAACATGCATTCC